TATCCAAAAAATATAAAAATTTGTCAATCTTGACCACAAAGAAATTGTGATTGAAATTACTACTTGATAAAATAATAGATATAATTGCACACACACACACAAATATCATTCTACTGCTAAGAAAAGCAGTTTACAAAGCAATTACTTTTCTCCTTTTAAATAATGATTATCATTAACAAAGAATATTTCTTTTATAATAATTTTGAAATATATTTATCACAAATTTGAGAAAAGTTTATTATTATGTATTCAAAAGAATAATTCATTCTCTTTGCAAGAATATTAAGAAATTTTAATGAGAGAAAAGTTGGTTCAGCTCTATGTAGAGCAAGCAAGCGGAATATACATTTTTTTTTAATTTAATATTCTTGATTAAAGCGTTAAAGCTATTAAAATTCAGAATATATTTTGAATAAATTTGTTACTAATGATGAACTTATGATAGATTTACGAGAAAAAAATATGTGAAAAATAAAACACATTTATTCAGTGAGTACTAATATAACATGTGTTTACAAATATAAAACATTTTGCAAATGAAAAAATAAAGTAACTCCTAATTATAGATAGAGTCCCAATTACGGATCAAATTGAGTTTATTAATATATTAAAAAAACACACATTTTTCTAACGAAAAAACACGAAACACATTCTTTCATGTTCTTTAGTTCTTTTATATTCCGAAGTTATATTTACGAATATTCTTAATATTTAAGAAAAAAATCTAAGATATCTGTTGCTTTACCAACTTTTTAGATTTATGAAACTGCTTAGATTGTGCTAATATATATACCATTATTTATACCATTATACCAATATATGGATATATATATCATTATTTTATATAGATTAAAACAATATGAATGTGGCATAATATAAAATTAGATATCATAGACATTATACAGACGCAATATTTGTTGAAACATGATTAGGACTTACGCATAAATGTTTCTAATTATTGTTTTTAATTAATAATTTAGAATAAACTAATTAAAAATCTAATAATTTTGTTTTGAAACTATGATGTTAATTGCTTATATTGACATCAACAGTTCGTTTTAATATTCGATCGACAAATCTATGTATACGATTGGAAGTTACTCTAACTTTAAGTGATCCCCATAATTAGAACCATTATCTTATATACTCGTATTTTCTTAAAACCTTAGCTTTTTATGCTGCAATGCCAATATGGCCTAATTTTACAAAAAAAAAAACATTCCACAATGAAGTGTAATTCTAACGTAATTTTTAGTATAATATTTTCTCCGTATATAAGAGAGACCGGTAAGAAGGAACGAAGCGCGATTAGCGTTAACAGCGATGTAAACTATGCGAACGCGCCCGAGAGAGCAAGCGCGCAATAAGGAACGGAGCAGCCTTCATTAAAGCTGCGTCCGGCGTGCCTTCATCGTGAAATCGAGCGTATCAAAAATAGGAAAGGCCTGTATACGGCGTCACATAGGATATGTCTCAGGAGAGGTCACGCGATGTCCCCGGCGAATTTCGCAAGTTCACATCGTGAACTTCCAAAAATTCAGGCGGAAACGCTCAATTTCTATCCCTACTTTTCCCTCATTTCTCATATCAAATATATATCGAACGATTGAATCAAGGCTGCTGTTGAGAGGGAAATGCACCGTCTGGAGAATTTATAATTGAGAGAGAAAGGAGGGAAGAGAGAGAGAGAGAGAGAGAGAGAGAGAGAAAGGAGGAGGAGGAGAGAAACAAGGTTTCGTTATCTATTCTCATCCTTGAACGAGCGTCAGACACAGTCTAATTTTCAATGTTAAGTAACTACGCGATTGAAGTATGTGTGTGTAATGCCGGCATTGAAACAACCGTCACTTTTCTCCGATTAGTCATTCATAGGCTGTATAGTTAAAAAGGCGTGCGTATCTACATACACACATACAGTTACACATGCATACGCACAAAAACATATAATTCTATTACTAAGAAAAGTAATCGCTCAGTTTGCTTTCCTTCTTTTAAGTAATGGTTACTTTCAACAAAGTTATATTTTCTTCTCATACTGATCTTAAAATATTAAAATTTTAGAAAAGCTGAACACATGATCATGTACTCTAAAGAATTTACTCTTTCTATGAACTTTTTCGAAGAAAAATAGTAAGTTTGACTCTCTAAATAAATAAGCAGCCCGACTGTTTTTGTTTTAACTTAATATTCTTGATTAAACTTATTAGGATTCAGAAAATATTTTAAACAAGTGTGATTCTTACGATAAACCTATGATAGATTTGCGGACATATAATCTGATAAAACAATTAAAACAAGTAACATTTGTTCTTGAATTCAGTATGTATTTTACAGTCGTTTACGTAAAGGACGCGACTTTTTGGACAACTCAGATAAAAAGGTAACTTTACATAATAAATGTAAATTTATTACGAACGGCAAGTTAACTAGTCGATTTGTAAAGATTATGTGTTCCTTATAAGTTCATATAACATTTTTAAATCATTATTATATATAATAACGAAATAAAAATACGAAAGAAATACAAAAAGAATAATCAAAAAGGATAATACAAGAGAAATAGAAAAAAAAATCAAAACAATATCTTGCGTTAAATATAATATAAAAATCTAAGTGTAACTTTTAATAAATTTGTAATTGTCTATATATAATACAACGTTACAAGAAATTTACATTACATAATATAAATTTAACGATTAGTTCAATCTGCCTTATAAATATAATTTTAAAAAATTGTAGAGTTGCCGCATCATTGATTATCTCACACCATGATAATTGTGAGTCTATCTGGGAAATTAATGAACACGCAAATTTAACGAGGCCGCGAACCTCTGTGTACGAGCTGGAACACTGAGAGAAATTTTAGAGTTGCCAAATGTTCAACACGAGATTCAACTACAAGAGTAATTTATAATCAGAAGTGTAAATGCCATTGTATTGTTATAAACTTGCTCAAAAGAATGCTTTTATATGAAAGATTCTAAGTTAGCTCATGTTGAAAGGAAAAAGTAAGCGTTCGTCGCTCGCGTTTTGACACAATAGTTGAGCTCACGGCTCTCGCTACTGGGAATTCGGACCCGGAGGAGTATAATGACTTAGACGCGAGCGGCTGGCGTCAGCCAGAGGGACAGAGAGAGGGAGATGGAGAGAGAAAAGGGAAGGAGACAGAGAGAGAGAAAAAAAGAGAGCAAACGAGTAAGCGGTTGGTCAGGTAAAGCGCGAGAGGAAGTGCCGCGGTGTAGATACGAGAAATTATTCTTGATAAGCGGCGTCGGGAGAGCGCCGTTGCGCGCGTTGGTTGGGAAATATGCGACGGCTGCGGCGTGGCGAGAGAGTTCCGTTCGACCGATCGTACTCGCCTCGCCGAGTTCTCTCGAGCCGTGTCTCGAGAGCCGCTTGGAAGAACGACCGCGATCCCCTGTCTCTTTCTCCTTCTCTCTCCCCCCCCCCTCTCTCTCTCTCTCTCTCTCTCTCTCTCTCTCTCTCTCTTGCCGAGCCAGAAAGAAGATTGTAAACAACGGGTCGTGAACGAAGGAAGAGGGAGGGGGATGCTCGAAGGGACACCTGAAGGGAAGTACATACGTCGGCACGACTGACGTTTCGGGAGAAGAAGGGAGGAAGGGAAGGGCACGAGAAGAAACGGTAGAAAGGGGGGAGAGAGATGGCGTAAGTGCGTGAGTGTACAGTAGACGTCACGAATGCCTGCTCCCCGTTAGACCAGACGACCGCCTGCCTGCCTTCTCCTCAAAGTGTGTGCGTGTGTCCCGTCCGGATATCTTATTCACACAAGCTGAGCGTCATACCCATTGCGTCATTTTGCGTTTCATGCGTCACGCGCGTCCAATCCGGAAATGCCCAGCCGCGGAAGAGCGAGGGCTTAGCCTCTGCAACTACGTGACTATCAGTCGACTAGGTAACCGCACGCACGGTAGAAGACGGGGGAAAATGTTACGATCACGCGGCTGGTTGTCACGTTCAAGAATAAAACGTGATAACGAAACGGACGAATCACGCCGTACAGGGAAAGGATAACAGGAAGAAGACTGATATATGTGTTGCGTGTGTCACATTTTCAGAATCAAAAGACAAAGACCGCGCCGCATCAAATGAATGAGAGACCCAAGCCTGAAATTTCCAAACGCCAGGCCGCTCTTTTCGTTCTCTCAAGAAGCGTTAATTTAACGGAGCAAGCGGGCAAGCAGGCATTCACGACGGCTAATGTACGCGCATTTGAATCGGATCGGAGCGCCGCTGCCGTCGTGTAGGCCGAATGAGGAGAGAGAGAGAGAAAGAGAGCGCGCACGTCAACGGCGGGAAGCGGGGTGAGAGGGAGACAGAGATAAAAAGAGAGCGGGGAGGGCGCAAGGGTGAACGGCAAGGGGGCGCACGCAAGAAAGAGAGGGAGAGGCTGGCACATACGCATGCAAAGAGCACAGAGGGACGGACGCACGGTAGGCGACGACGACGACGGCGGAGGGACATGGCTTCTATCCTTGAATACGCACTTAGCCGCAAATTGCGTCGTTCCTTTGTCCGTTTGTCTGTCGTGGGCCGCGGCCCCAACACGTCAACGGTTCCTCGTCTACACGTCCTCCGTTCCGCCGCGCGCTCGATTTCAATCACAACGGGATACATACACTCGCGTACGTCGTGTGCAAATACGCGCGTGCATGTATATATATTACATATGTACACATGCATGCATGCATGCATGTGCGTGCGTGCGTACGCACGCACAAACGTGAGTGAAACACTCAGAAATAACGTAGTACGCATACAAGAACCGCGGGGAAGAGAGAGGAGGAAAGTGCAGTCGAGTCGACTCAAGACTGACTCGCTCACTCTTTCTCTATGTGTGTGTCTCCTTCTCTCTCTCTCTCTCTCTCGCTCTCACGACTATCCCGACCGAAAATAGTCGCGGTGATCGGGGTAGAACACGAGCGAGCTAGCGAGCGGCGGAGTAGAGAGAGAGCGCGCACTTCACGGATTGCGACACTTACCGAAGGCTGTTGCGGTGTAGCAGGGCGCAATATGTCAGCTGACTTGACGCGCGACCGATCCTAATCCTGCGTCAGTATGCCACATAATTCTCAGCGGCACATTCGGTCACCTCGCTCGCAAACGAATCGCTGCTTCGCGGAACTTGCCCGCCTCGCGTTTCACACTGTTTCACAATACTTGCGCGGGACACGATAGAGAGGGATAGAGACAGGGATAAAAAGAGAATGAGGGAAGCGAGAGAGGGAAAGAGATGTAGGGGAGACAGAGTCGTGCGACGACTGCGACGTCGAGGGCGACGATGACGGCTACGGTATAACGACGACGTCGGCGGTGACGGTAACGCGGAACGCGACTGCGGCTGCGATCACGGCGACCACGACGACGACGATTATCACGAGAACGACGGTGACAGTCGTTACGAGCGAAACTCTCTTCACATCCAGCTCTCTCGATTGCGAGATGAACTGCTGAAACCACGAGTGTAGGAATACTGCTGATGACTGGTGTAAAGTTAGATCTCTTTTGCCCTTCCTCCCCCCACTCATCATCTGAGCGCACACTCGGTTGCCGAACACGGACGAACAATTCCGAACCTCCTCGAGTTATGGTCACGAGTTAACTAGACTGTAGAGAGAAGACCGATCGGACGGTCAATGGCGCACATTAGACGTGATCACTGAAATATATACTACCTAGGCTGCGTTCCAAAACTCTACGGGTAGAGTTTTGGAACGCAGTCCTAAGTACCTATTATGGACTTCTTCGGAATCAATTCTGACCGGAATAATTCTATTCCCCCTAGAAAAGACAATAGAAATGTAGAAAATAACTGAATGTTTCCAATCGGAATTGATTCCGAAGAAGCCCATAATGCAGAATTCATACCGCGTCCGATGTCCAATGTACGACGTACGATATCCAATAGGAGAATAGCTTTCTAATATAGAATTCAATTCTCCATTAGAAAGCTATTCTTTTATTGGATATCGGACGTCGTATGTTGAACGTCGGACGCGGTGTGAATCCTGCATAAGTTTCCACCGAGGGTTCGAATCGGGTCAGAATCGAGTATAAAAAAAACTGTATAAAAACTGTATAAAGTCAGTTACAACTACAAGGCCCTTATTTTTTAAATAGTTGCATATACGTAAGTTTTACTGCGTAAGTTTAATCATACCATAAAATAGCTGCGCAGTAAAACTTACGTATACGCAACTATTTCAAGAATAAAGCCCATCGCATATGAAATGACATAATTGCATATGCATAGCGTAAAACTGTATGGACCAATGAGCATCGAGTATTGAGCATCAAGCATCAATAAGCGATTTTTGGCGATCCTTTGGTACATGTACCACAGTTGATATTGGTAGGGGCAGAGCTTATTTTGGTATATGTACCACTACCATGTACCACTACTAATGCTAAAATAGACTGATTCTTTTCTATTTACGCGCGACTTCAAAACAGTTAAAGTGTAACCCTAATCGGGAGCGGTGCACTTGGACACGGTGCATTTGGACACAGCCAATCACAGCACCGTATGATTAGAGACATTTGTAGGGTCCCTTGGAACAGCGACTTGTGATTGGACTGTGTCCAATTGCCCCGTGTCCAACTGATATACACCCGTTTCGACATCGAAAAAGTCTCAACTACGCCGAATCGATGTCAAATCGATGGTTTATTTCTTGCTGAATAAAGCTATTTATTTTATATTTGGGTGCGCATTTGCTACGTACCAGAGACTTTGGAAAACTATCCTGCTCTCGAGCAAGGTACAGCGTGGTACAAACCAAAGTTATACCAAAACGGTAAACCACGCCTCTACCACAAAGTACCAAACACGCGAAAACGTTTTGGTGCAATTTGGTATACTTTGGTACATGTACCAAAGATCGCCAAAAATCGCCTAATATGGCGGCTAAATACTCGATGTTTATTGGTCCATACGATCTTATGCTATGCATATGCAGCTATGTCATCTCATGTGCGATGGGCTTATGGGCCCTGGGCAGCGATCATAGGTTTGTTGCTTGTACTTTTCACACTTTTACACCTAATGCTCGTTGCACACTAGTGCACCTTAAACAACACAAATTTTCCAAACATTTTCTGAAAACATTTTCAGAACGGAGGGACGTCATCAGAGTATTCTTAGGACGTTCTTTAAAGGTGTGAATTATCTGAAAATAGCTAATATCCAATAAGTTTTTTTCGTATTAATTGAACTTTTTACACTTTTAGTGCACATTAATTCTTGAGAGGTTCTAAAAATGGCGTCATGTTTTCCGTTCGTGTTACGAGTGTAAATGCAATTCTGATACACTTTTCACTCTTGTTTGGGATCAAGTGTAAAAAGTATATCAAAATTGCAATTACACTCGTAACACGAACTGAACTCATGACGTCATTTTTAGAACCTCTAAAGAATTCATGTGCACTAAGTGTGAAAGTGTAAAAAGTTCAATTAATGCGAATAAACTTATTGGATATTAGCTATTTTCAGACAGTTCACATCTTCAAAAGACGTCCTAAAAATATTCTGATGACATCCTTTTGTCCTAGACACGTCTTCAGAACGTATTTTAGAAAATTTGTATTGTATGAGGTGCACTAGTGTGCAACGGGCATTAGGTGTAAAAGTGTGAATAGTACAAGCAAATCGAACAAACCTAATGTTTTACATACATATTAAACAACTGATGTAGTTTCGGTTTAACCGCCGGCATATTAAGGGCTATCGCACACAAATTGATATAACTGCATATGCATAGCATAAGATCGTATGGACCAATGAGCATCGAATATTAAGCATCGAACACCAATATGGCGACTTAATACTCGATGCTCATTGGTACATACGGTCTTATGCTATGCATATGCAGTTATGTCAATTTGTGTGCGATAGCCCTAAGCGTGTTTGAACGTGTTTAAACGCGTTCAGACCTGTGATTTTTGGAAGTTACCTTTGGAACCTACCAAGGCCCTATTCATTTATATCTATTTTCTTACATTTTCATCTTTTGTTGTCTCTTACATATACGATGAAAGTCTGAAATCTAGCCAAATATTTATTCAACATACGATGGAAGCACTGTTCGGAGTAATGGCGTAGAGTCACTCACAGGAAAAGTATACTCAGCCAAACATTGAAACATTGGGCGCGTTCAGCAGATCCCAACAGTTGCAAAGCGGTTGAGCGAATGATACGTAGCGCTTAGTGATGAAAATCGTGTCTGCTGAACGGGCTGAACACGGTTTATCTCACATCTCGTCACGTGACTTCAGTGTATCTCGTCACGTGACCGCAACTTATTTGGAATATGACAGAGGTTAGATTCGATTGGTACAGCTGATAGACTTTCGAGGAAAGAGGATACGGAAAAAGCCGGTATTTCGGAAGTTATTCAAGTTAAGCAGCTAGAGATACAAGATTTCAATATGCTCGTTACATCGCTGGCCCTCTTTTCTATTATATTGGCATATTTTTACTTGTGTGACAGGTAATTGCTAGATGCAAGATTTACATATCACAATTTACGTATCACAATTTCTTAAGCTCATTTTAAAAAATATACTATAATACACGATTTTAATAGTGTTTACTTCTTTCTTCTCTCATGTGCGCTGCCATCTTGTTTCGCAACATGTTGCGCGTAGGTAGCGGAGAAAAAGTTTAATGGGAAAAATGGCGTCCGCTCCCGGAACATGTTGAGTAGCGGTAACTGAGCGAAGTGCGTTCAGCAGACATCTACACAACAGTTGTACAACAGTTGCGTCTGCAACGCGCCTATTGAAACATTGAAACTGAAACTAAATAACTGATGTATAAATAGAACCGTAACCATAAACAATATTAATAAGATTTTCACTAAAACATGCAACAGTGCTCGTGCATTTTTGACTTGCAATGTTTAATAAAGTTGTTGCAAAAGCCATATCTACAAGTAATTAATTGTAACATTTTAGTGAAGCAGGAAGAAAAGAAAATGAATGCAATTATAGGGTAAAAAGCAGACACTTTAAAATTAAAAACAGCACTATGATTATGATTAAAAACTGCATTATAATTGCAAACTTTTCAACACATCTATATTTTATTTAAAGTCAATGAAAAATTATTTAAAAATGAGGAACACACATATACAGATGCAATGCATGATTACAGATAATAGATAAAATGGTTAACTGGTTCATTCCAAATTAACTAAAGTGATCTAATAAAAAAAAGTTTGACGACAATAACATAACGACAACTTACCGTTTTGTGCTTTGAGAGCATCAGCTCGAGACAGTATAACGTGAAATTCTTCTTCACTTTCTGCATCGTGAAGAGTAATTTCTACATAACTGTTTGCTGTTGTTGTCATTATTATATCACTTTTTACATCAATTAGAATTGTAAGATATTAAATATATAACAGTCTAACCGCCATATAAATGGTTGACAACATTGGCTGCGTTCCGAAATTCACTGTCAGTACTGAAAATCTATAGATCATGTTACGTATACTATAGAATTTCAGTACTGGCAGTGAATTTCGGAATGCAGCCATTGTACTACCGACAGTGTTCGCGAAACTCATCGAACGCTAAGGGCTATCGCGCACAAATTGACATAACTGCATATGCATAGCATAAGACCGTATGTACCAATGAGCATCGAGTATTAAGTCGCCATATTGGTGTTCGATGCTTAATATTCGATGCTCATTGGTCCATACGATCTTATGCTATGCATATGCAGTTATGTCAATTTGTGTGCGATAGCCCTTACGCTACTACTGTACTGCCTCGGAAGCAATAGCGTTGGTAGCACACAGTTATGACGTAAACGCTACCACTAGTGACGTCATGATAGCGTTTGTTATGGCTCCTGCCCACAGAACGCGGTAACGCTTGCCGCGCAGCGGAAGTTCGCGCAACAGCCAGTCAATATTTATTTTTCCGTGAGAGCTACAAGATAATTACGAAAAACAGCATATTGATTGTCTATCTCACGAACTTTCACCGCGCGACAAGCGTTGCCGATTCCTATGAGCAGTAGAGTCCCTATAGTAATGGCTTCTGCACACAGGAAGCGGTAAGGGTGCCGTCCCATTGAGCACGGATCGGAACGCCGGATCGGATTTCTTACTATAATGAACGTTCCGTTCTCTAGTTCGGTTCCGTAAAAGTTTCCTCTACCAGTCCCATGTAGCAAAAACGGAACGGAATGGCGCGTCGGTCGCAAATAAATATGATTAATTCGTCAATATTTCGTTATTTTGACGCGATAGAATTAATTATATACATAATTTATGCAATTATCTTGCCGATAACATTGTCATGAATATTCTGAAATATTTAATTGAAGAGTGAAATATATTTTATAACTAGAAATCCGTTCCGTTTTTGCTACATGGGACTGGTAGAGGAAACTTTTACGGAACGGAACTAGAGAACGGAACGCTCATTATAGTAAGAAATCCGATCCGGCGTTCCGATCCGTGCTCAATGGGACGGTACCCTAATGCCGCGCGGCGGAAGTTCTCGCGACAGCCAATCAATATGTTTTCCGTAATAATCTTCTAGCTCTTATGGAAAAACAACATATTGATTGGCTGTCGCGCGGACTTTTGCCGCGCGGCAAACATTACTGCGTCCTGTGTGCAGGAGCCATAAGAGTTTGACCTATGTTTCCAGTTCGACAAAACATGGCGTCGTAGATAAGATGAGATAAGATTAGATGATATGAAGGCTGCGTTCCGAAATTCACTGCCAGTATTGAAATTCTATAGTATACGTAATATGAACTATAGATTTTCAGTACTGGAAGTGAATTTCAGAACGCAACCGAAATAATACTTCTCTTAGATATGGAGAATTCATAAAGCGTGACAGTATAAACATTATTAGTCAAGATTAATGTTTATTAATACTAAAGTACTAATAATAGTTATATAAAGAAGTAATAAATAGCACAAGTAAGTAAATAACTTATAATAAAATAATATATATAAACACTGTAATGCGAATGTGTCGAATAATAATAATGTGTCAAAAATAATTTTTTAACCTGTCATATTATATTGAATGTGTAATATAAGGTATATATAAATTACAGAAAATTATTGAAATGATTGAAGACACGTTTCTTTCTTTCTTGTTCCTTTTCTATCATTTGAATAATGTCACTCGCAAAGCATAGATTCGAGACATCTTATTGATTCCGCCATATTTTGTCGAAACCAATAGAAAGTTTGACAACATGGACCAGACTCTTACTATAGAGACTCTAGTGAACAGGAGTCATTGGGCGCATTCAGTAGAAAAAGCGCTCAGTGAGCAATCAACGATTATTGGTTCTTGCTATTAGATCCCTAAATCTAGACCAATTACATTGACAAATTACTCAACTGTTGTGCAACTGTTGAGTCTACTGAATGCAGCCATTGTATCACTTTCTGCTCAAATAGCGTAAATGGCCGCGTTCAGTAGAACAAGTGATCAGTAAGCGCTCAGGAAGCTCTTGTATATGATTTGGCATATTCTTTTAGATCTCCAACTATACTCCAATCAGATGCAAGAGCTCACTGAGCGCTTACTGATCACTTGTTCTACTGAACGCGGCCAATGAAAACCGCTACAAAATATGGCGTCCGCTCCCTCAACTTGTTGAGATGTAACAACTGAGCGGAGCGTCATTCAGTAGAAAATCTAGTAATGTTGCCCAACTGTTGAGTCTACTGAATACAGCCATTAGCGCTATCTTGTAGCTCCGCGAACAGCCTGTAGCGCTAAATAGCGCTGACAGCGAGCTTCGTGAACGCACTTCTAGTTATTTTTTAAATACTGTCTATTCTTTCTTTTTTTCGATAGTCGGCAACACTGCTAGTTTTGCGTCGTTTATTCGTTTAAACAGTGAAAAATCGTAGTGCTTGCATCATTCTTATGAGCGTAATGTCGATTCTCGTATATCTGAAATATTGACGAAAAAAAATAATTATTTCTAAATCGTCAATTTTTTTCTTGCGACTGATCATCAAAATCTTGATCTGGTTGATGCTATCGTTTGCATATCGTGTAAACTGTAAGCACATAATTTAGGTTAGAAAAAGTAACAACTACACTCAAGAAACTTGCTGGCTGACGAGCACGTTAAATATACGCGTTTATTGTGAATAAAAAAAGAGACATGAATACACCACACTCTAATAAGAAGAAAGGCAGGAACAGAATCGGCATGCAGAACGAAAGTGCGAGTCCTACGAACTCTGAAACGCTCAGTACCCAAGAATTGGCGAAATATGTTCTGGTACGTTTAAATAAGGATTTTATACAATATCTCTTTAAGTATGTTCTTTTTAGCTAAACCAATATTGTACAGGAACTTCGTTTTTTTCCCTCTCAACATTAGATTATATATTTGTTTCACTTTAAAGACAAAAAGTACAGATCTATTATTTTGCTCATTATTTATTATATTTTCACGATAGTTTGACAACATAAGCCCCTAAATAATTTAAAGACATTTTAAACAAAGAAAAATAGTGAAAACTCTGATAATAATCTGTAAGAACAAAAGCCTAATATATGCTGTCGCTAAATGTTAGAAGCAATAATTTATATAGTCAAAGAAATTTAGAGGAATTTAATTAATATTTAAAATATTAATTGTGTGGGTTAAAGGGTTATTTCCACATATAAGGTAATTATTACATAATATCTTTTATACATTAAAAGTCTGAAAAATAAATCTGGCATCTATGATGTTAAGAAGTACATTAAGACTTAAAATAATAAATTTTATGAAGATTTTATAAAACTTACATATACATTAAAATATGACTGTATCTAAAATATGATTACCTAAAAATCTTTCTGGTAATACAACCAAAAAAAGATTAATCATTGTAAAGTTAAAATATTTGTAACTAAAGTTGGCATATTTTACACATATCCCTTGTAATTAATATACCACTTTAGTTATTTTTAATGCCAATTTTTTAATATCTTTTATACTATGTTAAATTTTGATGTAGAAGACTACTGTTATATATTATATGTATTAAAGATTATCACAATATACTGGAAACTAACAAACATGCAATGTACACAAATTTCAAAATTACTAACCATTTTATTTTGAAAATATACAGTGATTAAAAATTTATAGTAATATTTAAAATGCACATGTCTATTTAAACATTTATATACCTTTTTCTATTGTCTATGCATATTAAATCAATTAATGTACAAATGCGTAAAAACACTAATAAGAAAGCATTTGTATTTTTTTTGTGTTTTAATATTATATATATTTATATATAAATATATGTATAGAAATATAATTTTGTACAATAAACATAATATATAAATAATAGTATATTTTTTAATGGTTTCCTTGATATGTGTGTGTGTGTGTATGTATGTATGTGTGTCTGTGTGTGTGCATCACTAAAGATACAACAATCATATCTAATTCTGACAAAGAAAAATACGATTCATCAATTCCATTGGAATAACTAGCTGGTAAAGTTAACCAAAGTTGGTAGAAACAGACATCAGCAATACAGCTATCTTAAATTATCACACTCAATGTCTAGCAATGGCTCTCACTAGCTTTTTATATTCTTAGTGATTAATATACTTTATTATTTTAAGGTTAATACATTTTAATATTTTAAGGTAAATCCTATTGGAGAGGATGGAAATAAACCAATTAAGTGGGCTATCTCAGATGTTCTCCCTATAATTTCCTTAGATAAAAGTATATCAGATGAGAAAACACAGAAGAATAGTACGATACCAGCAGAAAAAGAAAAGGAAGAAAAGAATGTCCTGAGTAATTTGCCTGTTGCAACAGTCAAAGAAATAGAAGGCTATGAGAAACAGTTAGGAGAAGCAGAGTCACTTCCAAATTCATATATTAGATTTATGGAACGTAGTGGTGAAGAGCTTGATGGTAAGTCGAGCAATGTTATACACAAATATGTAATGCCTTACAGTTTATATAATAAGTATTACCATTTAACTTCTTTGATATTAAAATGCTTTATTATTTCCAAATTTTTATTATTAAGCAATTTAAGTATCAAGATTACATGTTTTATTTTCTATATATAAAGTAACAATAATTGTTACAAAATTATTATTACTATAGTACTATAGTATTATAGTACTCTTTAAGAATAACATCTAAATTGTCTTTCCAACAGGAGAAGTGGAATATGATTTGGATGAAGAAGACAGTGCGTGGCTTTCTATCGTAAATGAAAGGAGAGTGGCTTCTGGATTGTCTCCTCCATTGGAGCCCGATACGTTCGAGCTACTGATGGACCGACTGGAAAAAGAATCATATTTTCAGCAGCAAAGCAATGGTGGAGCTGGTGTTGCGGCGGACGAAGATGCTGTTTGTTGTATTTGCATGGATGGAGAGTGCCAGAATAGTAACGCAATCCTATTCTGCGACATGTGCAATCTTGCGGTCCACCAAGATTGTTACGGTGTACCATATATACCAGAAGGACAGTGGTTATGTAGAAGATGCTTGCAGAGTCCATCCAGAGCCGTAGATTGCGTGCTTTGTCCAAATAGAGGCGGAGCTTTCAAGCAAACCGATCGTCCAGCTAAATGGGCACACGTGGTATGTGCTCTCTGGATACCGGAAGTAAGATTTGCCAACACCGTCTTCTTGGAACCCATCGACAGTATAGAGAGTATTCCGCAAGCTCGCTGGAGACTGACTTGCTGCGTGTGCAAACGTAGAGGATCTGGTGCTTGTATCCAGTGTCACAAGAGCAACTGCTATGCAGCGTTCCATGTGACTTGCGCGCAGCAAGCTGGTCTGTGCATGCGTATGCGAACCGTGCAGCCGAACAACGGTGAGCCGATGTTAGTGCAGAAGACCGCCTATTGCGAAACCCATACGCCCGTTGATTATCAGCCCTCCACGAATCCCACGGACGCAAGGAGAAGAGCAATAGCTAATAAGAAAAGTTCGTCAGCACCTGTGATTTCTATTCCTACAATACCACCAGAGAGAATTCAAGAAATCGCTGGGTAACAATTTATTGATTAATTACATAATTGATTAATGACAATTATTATTTATATTATTTAGAAGAGACGTGAAGCCAAAGAAGAAAAAATATCTTTATAATTTTTCTAAATAATAATGCATTTTTTTTAAATTGTTACATATATTTAATGCATGCTTTAAAAAGATTTATATTATTTATTTAAAACATGTTTTATAACGTTATTTATTTAAAACATGTTTTATAACGAGCGAGATTTTATAAGATAATGTATCTATTGAAAAACATGATTATCCTATTTACTTTTGAATGGTAAATCTGAAGGCATTGAAGTAAACATTTTTTAAAAACTACATGAAAATAACTTCCTTTGTATATAGGGGGATTTTAAGAAAAGTTTTGTTTCCACAAAGTGACAGGTTCCATAAAAAAAGATTACAAATTTTTAGTAAAAATCTGAAAAGTTCCTTGTATGTTTTTCAGTTTGTAAAAAAAGAAAAATCCGTACATACAAATGAAAAAAAATTCGATTACAAAAAATTTGCTGCAAGGTAGAAGTATAATCGGACCAATAGCTTTTTCTAAATATCTTCCGAGCCAGCTTTAATAAGATAGTTTTAAAAGATACACGTTTAAAATTACTTTCAATGTGCTATGTGCTTCCACAATGATAAAAAATTGGTTTTTTGAAATTTCTATGTAATGTTTCCCTTAATTATTTATTAATAATTACTATAATTATTTAATTACTGATTTTAATTTTAGGGTCTTTAATTATTTATTTGAACGTTATTAATTAATTATATTCTTAAACACATTTTGTCTTTTATACAGATTAAAATATAACAATTATCACACAAATAAATAATAGAAAAAACGCGTGCTTATCTAATCATATCATTTATTATCGACTTTATTCCTGTTTCTTTATTGTATTTGCTAACCAGTCTAGCTGAAGGAGTACCGAAGAAAAATCAATTGATACAACGGCTGATCGCTTATTGGACTCTAAAGCGACAATATAGAAACGGTGTTCCACTTCTTAGACGGTTGCAAAGTTCGCATTCGCAGCCCAGAGCACCTACGCTTGTGGAAAACTCCTCGCCGACACACGACAGCGAATTACGGGGAGAATTATATCGTCAGCTTAAATATTGGCAATGCCTGCGTCAAGACTTGGAACGTGCACGACTATTGTGCGAATTGGTGCGGAAACGCGAGAAGTTAAAGAAAGAATACATCCGAGTGTAAGTATTCACTATATAATATTAATCCTCTATACAATGTCTCTATATAGTTGCGCTTACATGCTCGCATGTGCGTCCGGGCAATAAAAAACGGGTCCAGATAAATGAAACGTTTAATGGGCTACAAATACTTTCGCACTATCAATCGCAATTTCATCATCTCGTGTTCCGATTCGCCTCACGTCAACTCAGCTCGGTAGCACGTGTGCGACTTTCTCGTTTTTCCTCGATCTGTCCCAAGATCGCGGTCGCAACACTGCCTTTTTCAAATTTATCAACAATTAAAGAAGATACGAGAATATCGTCTTCTCCGTCCAAAATGCTGACTGAAGAACACTAAAACGACTTTTTGCTCTTTTCTGAACTGTTACTTCAGATTATAACAAGCGCCGTTCTTCCAGATCCCAACTAGACATCCTCCAGGAAACAGAGATCGACTTCCTTATGAACTCCATGCCTCGCGCTTCCTAACTCTGTTATTCTTGCCCCGACAGTTAAAAGAGGTACAAGAATATCGTCTTCTCCGTAACCATTTAAGATGTTGACTCCAGGGTACCACAACGACTTACTGTTCTTTTCTGAGCTGCTGCTTCAGGATATAACGAGCACTGTTTTTTAATCAGATGCTTCAGGAAGTAGAGAGGTCGATTTCCTTACAAACTCCATGTCTTGCTTTTCGCGCTTCCGGACTGCGTTTTTCGGACAAGGGAAGAGGGGGATAACATTCGTGGACCCAACGTTTTCTTTCAAAAACATTTCGAGTCCCTGCCTCGGCATTTTCCCAATGCCTCACGGAAAACCTATGGTTCAAAAACCGTGAGAGGAAGGCGATCTTCTTCATAAACTGACTGATGATGTTGGTCAGAACTCCCTTCTAGGCAAAATCCTCCCGTCGAGTCCTTGGAGAAATAGTCTTTTCTTTGAAGGAACTAAAACGCAATGTACAACGAAAAAAAACGGACGTATCCGTTTGAGATGACTACAACTTAAATCTAACTGGGCTTCGGATATGTAATCATTAACTCATTTTATTCACTATTAATCATGATTACAACTATAAATTCTTCTTTCTCGGAAAGATACAAGCCTATTTGCGTGTAGCAAACTTTCTTTTTATGCTAGCCAATTTCTGAATACAATGAACAACTTCGCTTAATTTCTTTATTTACAATGTATGGCCAACAACTTTGAAGCTTCGGAAGTTTTCTCTTAACACGACGCGGATTATACAATCAAACTTTCTATCAAGTAGAAAAATCAACGTCTTTCTTATCATAAATAGATTTCGTCCTCATCCCAGATTTGATTAACAAAGAATCACATGCCACTCTGTAAATTGAAATATCTTGTTTTTCCTCATTGACTCAGCGTCAAGGGAAACGCGCCATTCGTTTGTCCAAGATGCCATCGTCACCAACACCAAGACTATCGATGTAAATCGATTCGTCCTAAAAACGCAGGCGCAGCAATATGTGTATATATATATATATATATATATGTATATATATATATATATATATATATGTGTGTATATATATATATGTGTATATATATATATGTATATATATATATATATATATATATATATATATATATATATATATATATATATATATATATATATATATACATATATGTATATATGTATGTATGTATATATATATATATATATATATATATATATATATATATTCACTATGTAAGGCACTATATAAGATTTTATATACACACATACACATACACACACATACTGTTATATCTTTTCTACCACTATATATTATTATATGATATTAAAGTCCACTCGCCGTTTAAAGAGTTGAGAAAAAAAAGTAAAACTGCTTCTGTCTCTATTTGAGTATCTTTATTTTATCTAATTATTTTATTAGATATCTATTATTTTATTAGATATTTATAAAATTAAGAAGTGAAACTAGAAGAACTTACTCGAATCTGATCTATGATAAATAAACCATTTGAAGTTTTTCAAATAGTGTATATTATTATATAATGTTATATTTAAGTGTATAGTGAAGTAAATCAGGCACTTAAAAGGTTAACGATATAGATAGTGCGTTTATAACGATTTAAAAACAATTTGTTTGCAGGAAAGAACGATGTTTGTGGTACGAGTTACAGCCACTAGAGTGTATCTTAAATATATTACTCAAAGCTATAAAATCGAAAGATGTCAATGATGTATTTGGGCAACCAGTTAATACCAAAGAAGTACCGGATTATCTTGAGATTGTATCACATCCTATGGATCTTTCCACCATGCAGGTAATTATTGAAGATTATATATATAATGTTATTTATCTATATATTTCTTTATAATATATATACATGTCTATATTTATTTATACAATATGTCATTACATATTCTGTACGAAAGTTATAAATTCAAGAAAACGTGCTGGAAATAGAGAATATAATTATATAATCACTGTATTTTTCGTTAAAGACAAAATTAGAAAGGCAAGAGTACGATTCCATTGGAGCTTTTGAGACCGATTTTAATTTAATGGTGAGCAACTGTCTCGAGTACAATCGTAAGGATACCGTGTTCTATCGAGCAGGAGTGAAAATGAGAGAACAAGGAGGAGCGTTGATAGAGCAAGCTCGCAAAGAGTATCCTGAACTCGATCCGGTGATCGAGTCCGAGCAGGTCGCCTCTAAATCCAGGAAGAGAGAAAGAACTAATCGCAGCCGCGTAGAAACGGAATCACAATCCAACGAGAAGGAGATCGATAGCAGTGGTGTGAATAGAAGAACGGCAGTGTTATTGACGTGTAAAGCTAGAAAATTTACACGCGCCAGTAGAAGCGGCCAAATGCTCGTTTCAGAGGACGACAAGAAGAAACAAAGTGATAGCTTTAAAGTGTACAGGTATGTGATTTTTTCTCAATTGATTAATAAACTTATTCATAAACTTATAATATTGATACCCAGATAGACAGGTGTATGTAAATCTGCAACTTTACTAGTTGATCTATAAAGGATGTAACTTTTATGGTTTATATGCATATTTATCCCATAGAATGATAAAAGAAACACGAAAGAGAAATACGAAAAAATACTATCAAAATTTGCACAAAGTATGTTATATAAGGTATAATGTGGAAATTTGAATGTGACATTTTTTAGTAAATTTGTTACTGCATCAATGTAATTAACATAAATAATTTGTATAAATTTTATAATTATACATTATATTTACAAACGAAATTAAAAATACATTGTAAAGTTTCCATCGTCTTCGTAATAATCATGAGAGTTTATCTGGGTAATGTTCGAGTATCTGTATTACGAGCAGCTAACTGAAATATCTGACCAATTGACTTAAAATGTCAAGGAGTGGGACGATGGATAGCGACGTCAGCGAGGGAGAAAATCAATCATCGAGCTGCAGTAGCTGCTCTACGAGTAGATCTACTTCTCCTGATCAGGAGCCGGAAAAAGAGAAGCCACGACAAGAGATCGTCGTCACAAAGAAAGAGAACGAAAGTAAACAGACAAGTACCAGCAGCGGGCTGGAAGCATTACAACTCGTTTGGGCCAAATGTCGTGGATATCCTTGGTATCCAGCTCTAATCATTGATCCTAATACACCTCGAGGTACCGTGCATAATGGGGTACCAATTCCATCACCGCCCGATGACGTGCTGGCCCTTGCAGACAATTACAAAGATCCTGTCTTCCTTGTGCTTTTCTTTGATACAAAGCGTACATGGTAAAGATAATTAGCTCCTAATATAGAGTAATAAATACTCGGAATCACTAAAAATGTTAACTCAATATTAACATCAAATTTCACCTTACAGGCAATGGCTGCCAGGTGAGAAATTGGAGAAACTTGGAGTATCGCAGGAATTAGATGACGCAAAACTAATCGAATCGCGTAAACCTACTGACAGAAAAGCCGTAAAAAAAGCGTATAATGAAGCCTTACTTTATCGCAAACAAACGCACACTATGTTAAATAGTGCGTCAAAAGGATAAACTCCACAGATATCAATAAAATAACTAGAATATTGTGTAAGTAGCTCCTTTATCTTTACTTTTGTTATTTATTACTTACGGTGAATTTGACTGAATGCAGCGCATATTAAGGGTAAGCGCTGGTATCATAGGTTTTGTATTTAAGATTGTCTTGAATTTGCCTTCGAATACTTTGTAACCGATCAAAAAATTTTCTACAACACCTAAAGATGAACATAAGACGATTTTAAATATAATATTCAATTATAAATATAGCTTAAATATAAGAATGGACTGTGATACCGGCCTTAATGTACCCTGTGCTGGAATTCTGTAACTCGTTATTAGAATTAACGATAGTTTCATTATCATTGCGCAGCTTTTGTATATTGTAAAAAAGTTACACAATGATAACGAAACTGTCGTTAACTCCAATAACGAGTTACAGAATTCCAGCACAAGTGTGCATTAATACATCCAGTCGAATTCAACATTAATTTATTGCTACAGTTAGAGTTGTGTAAAGTTAACTTTTGGCGATCCTATGTTTAGTGGGACTGGACATTTTATCTCTGTGATTCCTATATCCAATAAATAGAAATGGTGTTTATATTTAATTTCATAAAATAGGAGGGATATTTTTTTTATTATAAGGAAAACTATACATTTATTTTCCTAGTGTATCTTTCAATTTAATTCGGACTTGCTGAAATAGATTTTTTATATAATCAAAGAACAACAAAAAATTAAAAATTATGTACGTACTAAAAAGATTTTCATGTTTAAATGGTAAATTTAATGGTAAATAAAAATTTAATATATCAATCGACAAACAGATATTTAATGTATTGATACATATTAACTTGTAATATATTAATATTATATTGATATATTAATAATATTTTCATAAAAAACATTTGCAAGATGTTTGTATACATGAAAATTGTTAGTTCATTGTGTATACATAAGACTATCCTTTCAGGTGTAATGTAACAGAAGAGATGTAACTGTCGTAATATAACTTTAGTCATTTTAAGATAAAAAGTTATTGTATATGAAATGCTGTTTATTGTATTGTTAATTTTGTTTACTGTAGACTTGTAGAAAGTATTATAACAATGTACTTTGCAAACCTTTTAGTGGACTTTGAAAGTAAAATATCTATATGCGTATTGTGTAAAATATATATTTGTACTGCTTTTGACATAACAGCCTTTATATGCGATTTTATTATGATACAACTATACACATGGAATAAATCTTGAATATAGAAAAATATTAAATATTTTTTCTTCATGATCTAAAGTTCTCTCTGCATTAGTAGATATGTTTGTGGTTTCTGAATACATAGAAACGCAAAATGCACTGTTGAAATGATTATCATAAGAATTAAATGAGATCAGAAGTAATGTATATATTTTGGCCCAAGTATCGTTAACGTTTATCAAAATATAGAGTATATATATATATATAAAATTAACAAAAAATATGTAGAGAATTGACGTTAAACAAAAATATAGAATATATATATATATATATATATATATATATAACTGCACTTGCAATATACTTTATAATCTTATGCATAAAGTGCACGTCGCCACGGTTCCTGTTTTCACAAGTTTCATTTACTATTACGCTTTACGTATTTAGCAAGTTCTTTGGCATACAAATCAAGTCTTTGCGTCATCTGGAACACGCATAAAATATGAATCGCATTTCATAGTTATTAATATGTATATTAAGGCTCCTGGCTCCTCGCATTGTCTATCTCTTTTTAACGACGTCAGAAGCAAGAAAATGTATGCTAAAAACTCTTACGAAATACGTTGAAATAAAAATATATATCCATAAAGTAGCACTTGCAATCGATTAAACAAATTTGTAAGATATTCCGTATACTCTCCTTTTGTTCTAACAATCAATAATTTCTTGTAAATTAACCTAAATAGAAATAGGCGAAGAAATAGGTTAAGAAGATGAATTGTATGTGACGTTAATTTACAACAAATTATTGTTAGAGTAAAAGGGGAGCGCACGGAATATCTTACAAATTTGCTTAATCGATTGCAAATGTTACTTTATGGATATATATTTTTATTTTAACGTACTTCGCAAGAATTTTTAGCATGTATTTTCTCGCTTTTGACGTCATTAAAAAGAGATAGACAATGCGAGGGGCCAGTGCGATTCTGTAACTCGTTATTACAGTTACGTTATAGTTTCGTTATCATTACGCAGCTTTTTCGTATTGTAGAAAAGTTGCGCAACGATAACGAGACTGTTGTTAACTGCAATAACGAGTTACAGAATCACACTACAGGAGCCTTAATGTACTAATTAATTATATATATTCATTATTTAGTGTATTTCTAAATTTCTAAAGGAGCGTCTACATTGGAAGTAAATAGTAAGAAATAGGAAGTAAGAATAAGAAATTGACCAACCACAGTCGAATATGAAAAGAATAATCAACATGATTGGTCAATTTCTTATTCTTACTTCCTACTTCTTACTGCTTACTTCCAATGTAGACGCCCTTTAAGAATATTCACCTTAAATCCCCACATGTCTTTCATCTGTCGACACATATTAAGATCCAGTTCTCCAATAAGTAATCCGTCTTTATTACGACTCAAGCCTGGAGTTCGCGAGCCATCGGGAGCGGTGATATAAGAAGAACCATAAAAAGGTCCGAAATCGTTATGAGCCTTGCCTTTGTCGCCAGATGTAAATTCATGGGGAAACGCCTCGGTTCCTACGCGATTGATTGCGCAAGTGTAATAATTGTTCGCTATCGCGGCGCATCTTGCTTCGATCGGCCACAGATGTTCGGATAATTTTTCAACAGTTGCTGACGGATTGAAAACGACCTGAAACAGAAAGAATTATTGAATTATTATTATATAAATGATTATTATTAATGAAACACATGAGGTATTAAATATTGGAATCTAAAAGAAATCACAAATTTCCAAAGAAGATTCAGATTTTACAAAGAAAAACATTATACTTTTATCTTCCATCACTGTAATGCATTAGGTTGTGTAATAAGTAATTTTCTATTTTTCAAATAATAGAGAAACATTATGCTTTCATCTTCTATATATAAACCTACGAGATCTTTTACTTAAAAGTACAATTATTTACTTTTTTAATTATCCTGTTTAATTGATCGTTAATAACATTCAATTGAAACTGCTTAATTGATAATTGATTCCAAAAAATTTAATCGAGGATCGTTTAATTGACAATTTATTTCAACGAATTTAATTAAAAACTGTTTGATTGACGATTGATACGAGCGAAGAGAATTAAAGATCGTTCAATTAATAATTGGACTAAAAAATCAAAGACCGTTTAATTGACGATTGAACTTAGCAAATTAATGAGCGCTTGAGACCGTTTAATTAACGATTGATATGAGCAAATTCAATAAAAAATTGTTTGGTGATGATTGATATGATTAGTGTCCCTCTCAATACTGGTTCTACTTGGCGCTTTTCAATAATCGACATCTTTCACAATGTCATGATGTTCGGTATGAATATTATCGACAAAACCAATTGTAATCTTGAATAATTGAATCGATTGAATTTGTTCATATCCATCGTCAATTAAACGGGAATTCGAAATTTATCGTCAATTAAATATTATTTGATTGATTTTGCTCGAATCAATTGTCAATTATTTAAATTGAAACGTATTTGTTCAAATAAATTATTAAGAGCATTTTATTTAATTGACATTTTTACAACTCTACTTTTTACCTCTGCTCCGTTTAAGCCGAACATCAGCCAATTCAACGGATGATGACGCCCGTAGCATATATTAACGGCAATCCGTCCGTAGCAAGTATCAAAAACCGGATGACCTGTATCGCCCTCCATATAGTAAGTGGACTCGTTGAAATCACCGACGCGAGGAATATGATTCTTTCTGTGCTTGCCGAGGACTCTGCCGTCCACATCAATCACCACACAAGTATTCCAGATAGTGTCGCCATCAGCGCAGTCCCGCTCCAAAATTGGCGATAATATTACCATTTTGTACTGCCGAGCGAATTTGGATAAGAATATCGTTGACGGCCCGATCTCAGCGTCTTCCGCAAATTCGCACCACGGATACTTTTCCCTCGTACAAAAAGCAAATGGCATATCTGCAATAATGTCACAGACTGATTATTGCAAAAGAACTAGAGGACATTTTTGTGCATGCAACTGAACCACATTTGTACGCACTCCATGCTTCTTGGAGGCATAAGATTTGAACTTCAGCAACAGCTGCATAGCTTAAATATGATTCAATTTTCTCGTAGATAGCATTTCGTTGATCTTTGATAGTTGCTGTTGTAGGCAATACAATCGAATGTTGCAGCAGTCCTACACGCACAACACGTGGTTCACGAATTTCTTCTCGGATCTCACTTTCTATGGAGAAACTCTTTGTTTCAAAATTTGGAATCTTACATTCTGGTAAGAGCAGTGGCCTAATAATAACATATAATTTAGATTGCAAAGATACTTATATATTGATGCTTAAAGTAATGGACACATTGTCCCAATGATTAAAACATTAATAATATTTTCTAAGAAGATTCGAAATAAACAACAAATACGATGATAGTAAAGGCAAGTTCGAGATAACGCAGATGATATTGCGAAATTTTGAATAAAGTCAATGTAAACACAAATACATATTTAATGTCAAGTAAATAATACCAGGATTGAAACGTACGTTTATGTTATGTGTTATTTACCTGACATCAAATATGTCTTTGACATATTTGCGTTTACATTGACTTTATTCAACATTTCGCAATATCATCTGCATTAGCTCAAACTTGCCCTTGCTATCATCGTATTAATAATATTATAACATTAATAATATATTCGTATTTTATAGAATAAAAGATATTTCTTTATATTAATTTATAATATTATTTAATTTAATTGTTAAATCTGTATTATTGTATTATGTTATTCGGTATTAGGATATGATCTATTTTTCAATTCAATTACTGGTACAAGCAACATTATCTAATATATCTCATCAAGATTATAATTGATATTTATTATATTATTTCCTATTATATTTTTTCATTTGATACACTAAAGTTTTATACATAGAGAGAATATTATAGTTCTTTTTTTTTATATAAATTTTTTTAAAATTTTATTATGTTTTTAGTATTTCAAAAAAATAGACTATCAATAAAGTCTATCTTGCCAAAGAACATAGTAAGTTTCACTAGAATCATAGTAGATTTTGCTAGAAATAATAAGTGTTTTAAAAGTGTCTTAATGACACATTTCAGTTCCTAAAGTATAAGTAACACATATGAAATGAAAAGAATATGGATTATTGCAGAATGTCAATCTATTTTTTAGTTACAAAATCCTATAATAATTTTTATTATAAAACTCTCTCCATGTGTTTTATCAGTAATTATATTAATTATCTATTACTAAAAATGTAAAACTGATTATACTTTCTTATTAGTTTAATCATTGGGATATTTATCTTATATATAAATTATAAAAACAGAATATATATATTTTTTTTATTTTTTTTTGTATACTTATAGATAGCAATTCTTACGTGAAATTACGTCCATATAAAATGCGTTTTACTTCAGACAGCTCATCCTCTGGTATATATTTATCTAAAGTCTTCTCAAAAGTTAATTTATCCATAACTGTGAGAGTCTTCTTACTGGTTCGTAACTTGATTGAGTAATCTTGAAGTCTATATTATTTAAGGCTTTCTATATATAAAAAATATGACATTGAGATAAGATTAAATACATAATACAAGTCAACACAAACATTTAGAGGACATACTGAAAATTTAGAAGAATTTAAATTCTATCATTGAATTTACACAGATTGTTATTATAATAACAGAATTAATTCATAAAACTTGATCGTATGTAAACTTATATATATATATATATATATATATATATATATATATATATATATATATATAAAATAGATAAAACATGTGTGTCATAAAAATATATAAGCAATATCGCAGAAAAAGTATATGTACACTCTTGAGGTAATCAGACATGTAATAAAAATATGTATACAAATATATATATGATTAAATTACTCTCTAAATTAAATTAAAAATATCACATTATATATATTAATAAATTATATCTATAAATATAGAAAAACTAATTCATTAAATATATCAATTAAATAATAGGAAAAAGGGCTAATTCAAGTTCAAGCATAGGATTAATAGTGCTATGTACCATATGGGTAAAACCTTCCTTGTGTTAGGAAATAGAGCAATATTTATTGAATATGAATACTCAATATAAATAATCAAACGTTTCGGCTCAATCATGAACCCTCTTCAGTGATATAAAAAAAAAAACTTAAGGTTTACAAAACAAACGCATTACAAGTAAAAGAATTAATTAAAGACCTTAATAAAATGACATGAATGTTATTCGCAGTATTATAGCTGACAAGACCGTTACCCGACTAATATTAAGAAGTTCAAATTAATACTAGGAAGTAGCC